TCAAAATTTTGGGGCCCTTAGATTAAATTTTTTTTCTCGTATATTTTTTATTTATTCAAATATAAAAGTATTTATATATTTTTTCATTTAAGAAAGCAAATTTAAAATAAAAATAAATAATAATAAATTAAGTTGTACTTTATTTTGTAAAATTAGAACTAAAAAAATTAACGTATTTTATTGATATATATATTGGACAATGATTTTTTTAAAAAACATCATTGTTTTTCTTAATTTTTTAAAATTTATTTTCAAAATTTTTTTAAGGGGGCCCCTGATCATTGGGGGCCCTAGGCCATGGCCTAGTCTGTCCTAATGGGTAATCCGGCCCTGGGTTTATGTTATATTTTCTACACTGCAAGCAAATAAATATATTTGAAATGTGAATCATTTCACCCGATTTCAACTAAAAGTATAGCTGAGATATACATGAGGTTGATTTTATGAGGTGTAACTGAGGTTGAAATTGAGGTTTATTGATTGGGTTATTTTTGGTGCGAAACATAACCTAATTTCATACCTCTGGTGTATTTCTTTACACCTGTTTACCTCAAAAACTTCTTCTTTTTTTTTTTTTTTTTTTTTTTTTTTTTNGAAGGTGGGATTATAATTTATAATGATATAACAATAATTTTAATATTAAGTTGATGGTCATTGTCTTACAATGAAAATCTAAAACATTTGTCATTTTCTTAAGATTCTCCGAATTTTCGATTCTGAAAAATCTTGATTTCTCAGGACTATTCAACTAACTTTGCTCTAATTTTGTCATAAGAAATTGCATTCTCCAAAATATTGTAAAAATTGTCTATCTTACAATTCAATGTTTTTTTGACTAGTATTGAATAGAAAAAAAAGAAAGAAATATTTACTGAAAGTTATTTTTTGATTGAAATTATATCTAGATAAATGAATTTTAAATTTTGTGCAAAAAATTTTCAATTCTGGAGATATGGTGAAATACGCGAAAAGTAATTAACATACGCAAAATAACAATTAGCATACGCGAAAAGTAATAAAAATACGCGAATAGTAAAATTAAAATAACGGGGTTTAAATATTGAACTGCTTTCCTGATTTAACTATTGGGATCATTTCCAGATTGCGGCTACCTCCTATATTTTAAGGGTCAGAAATTCGCATCCGTCGAAAAAATGGTATGTTTATTCACAGTAAGTACGTTTTTTTGTGTCTGATTTCGTAACTTAAAATATCGCCAACACTAATTAATTAGTGTGTTTAAAATCACTCCTTCGAAATAGTAAGATTGAGTCCTCTAGAACAGGGGTTTCCAACTTGCATGAGGCCGGGGGCCACAATTAAAAGCACAAATCATATGGCGGGCCGCAACTTCATCAAAATTTTTTGTAGGACTCTTTTATGTTTGAAGGAACATTAAATATTACTGTCAGAGTTTTTCCAAGTTGTACGAAACAAAAGTATTGAATTACAAATTAAAATAAGAAGTGGATTTTTAAAAATATTTATTTGTTATTAATAATATTTTTAAAAATATTAAATAAATAATAAAAATTCGGGCTACAATAACTTAATGTGCACCAGATAAGGTATTAAAACTGACATAGTAGCACACAAAATATTTAATGAGAAAATTGAGGTTTGTCTGCTGCAACCACCAGAGAATAGATATTTACATTTTAAATTTAAAATTTACAAATGTGTGTGTAAATATTTTCGTCCAAAATGAGTGGTTTCAAAAAGTTAAATCGGAGAATTTCTTCGAGAAAATTTCTGATACACACATGCTAAATTATATTCACAAAATACAAAAAAATGAAATAAAAAAGAGCAACATACACGATTATTTTTGTATTTGAATAAATATTTTCTTGGATGCAAACCTTAAAAATAAATTTCTTTGCACCGTTGGTATGTTAAATTTCACAGAAACGAAGAAATTAGGTTTTTGTTAACGAGAAAAGTATTTTAAACCCATATAGATATTTTACAAAAATTGTCCGTAAAAAAATGACAACTAACATGTTTTAGTTCGCGGGCCACAAAAAAAGGCTTCGCGGGCCGCCAGTTGGAAACCCCTGCTCTAGAACGTAAAGATCCGATCTTTAGATCAAAAGTTATTTAAGGTGCTCCATTTATATTTTTTTTGGCGCACTGTTCATTAATGTTAAACGTGTTGAGAAATTGACTGGGATATTACTTTATTTTTGCTTCAAATATTTGTTTTCTTTAAAAAAAAAAATCGCAAAATTCTTATCTTCTGGGATGCATTGCAAATGCGAAAATTTATCAAAAATCTAAAATCATTTGAAATATGAAGTAAAAAAAAATATTCTTATTTTTATACGTAGCACTAACATTTAATAAATGTTTCATAAATATATTTTATAACATTTATTAAATATATATTACACTTTCTTGCCAAGTAATCCTTTAGGACCATAATATTAGAAATTAGTTCAATTTCACTTTTAATCCATCAGATTTTTATTTGCAGTCGATTTTAATTCTCTTTTTGTATAATGATGATTCCCTTTAAACATTTATGAAGAAAAAAAGAGCAAGAAATTAAACTGCTATTTACAAATATACATGGAGCAGAAGCTCCTTTAGACTTTTACAGATTCATTTTCAAAAGAGAAGAGCGCACTTTTTTAAAATACAGCATATAGTTATTCTTTCTTTCATGTCATGTGATCCATAATATCCAGACTTCTTTGTTAGGATTGACGCCGTTAAGATGTGAGACCATAAGACCGGATGACGATATATATTAAAATCTAAAAAAAAATTATTAAATTGAATGGGATTTTGGCTTTATAAAGACATTTCACTATGCAGCATGGATTTAATTTATAAATAAAGATTACATTTCTAACTATTTAACGATTATATATATATGCGAAGTGTTTAGTTTATTATATGAAAGATATTATTTAAATTTCTCATCTTTTAGAAGGGCTAGTCTACAATTAAAAAATATAATTCTTTTTAGGTTTAGTTTTAAGATCCCTTTAATTCTGTTAAAGACGTTACATATGTATCTATATAAGTATATTTAATGATTATATATCATTTATAAATAATTATAACAAAAACATTTGTTGAATGCAAGTTTTCTAATTAATTAATAGTTCTACAAAGTTAGCACATTTTTTTACGCTTTAGAAGTTTTGAGAATAATTTAACCTAATAATATTTTACTTTATTTCATAACCGTCGCTTGTCAGGCGATCCAATTCCAATTCAACTTACGATTACGTTGAACTCAGT